CTACTTAGGAGGCTGAGGCAGGAGACTCGCTTGAGCCCAGGAGTTGGAGGTTGCTGTGAGCTGTGATGCCATGGCATTCTACCCAGGGGGATAGCTTAAGGCTCTGTCTCAAAAAAAAGAAAAAGAAAAAGAAAAACACATTCAGTTTACTATATTATATGCTCCTGTAAAGTTTGAGTACTTTCACAATTAACACATATTCATATTATTTGGGTAATTCTCAAAGGATTTTAAAATAACAAGACAGTGAAATTACTTCTTGCCTATAATACTGACGTAAGTAAAATGTTAAACAAAATATCTAATATTATGACAGTGAAAAGTTAGACACTGCATATTCATCAACACATAATTGGTTGTATAAACTATGGCTTATTTATTGGCCAGGCACTGTGGCTCACACCTATAATCCTAGCATTGGGAAGGTCCAGATGGGAGAATGGCTTGAGGCCAGGAGTTCACATCCAGCCTGGGCACACAGTGAGAAAACACCTCTACCTCTGTGAGCGATGGCACATACCTGCAGTTCCAGCTATTAAGGAGGCTGAGGCAAGAAGATTACTCGAGCCCTGGAGTTCAACTCTACTGTTTCTCTGCCACAGCACTGAACTAATTTTTCTATTTTTAGTAGACACAGGATCTTAATCTTGTTTAAGGTGGTCTCAAACTCCATACTGGGCCTTATGTTACCATTTTGATAGAGGAAAAACAATATCTTATATTAATTTGTGTCTTCTTTAGTATTTTATTTATTATTATCATTTTTTGAGGCAGTCAGGCATCATAGCTCACAGCTACCTCCAACTCGGACTCAAGTGATCCTCTTGCCTTAGTTTTTCTATTTTTAATAGAGATGGGGGTCTTGCTTTTGCTCAGACTGGTCTTGAACTCCTGAGCTCAAGCAATCCACCTCCCTCAGCCTCCCAGAGTGCTAGGATTACAGGCATGAGCCACCTCGCTTGGCCTGTTATTTTATTTTTATTTTTATTTTTCTTGAGAGAATCTCACTTTGTCATCCTCAGTTGAGTACTGAGGCATTATAGCTCACAGTAACCTCAAACTCTTCAGGTCAAGTGATCTTCTTGCCTCAGCCTCCTAAGTAGCTAGGACTACAGGAGCCCACCACAACCAACGCTTGACCATTTTTTTTTAGAGACAGGTCTTGGCTTTTGTTCAGGCTGGTCTCAAACTCCTAATCCACCCACCTTGGCCTCCCAGAGTGCTAGGGTTACAGGCAAGAGCCACGGCATCCGGCCCTTGTTTCTTCATTATTGAGGGTGGGATACATATGTGTGTGCGTGTGTGTGTATTTTTTGTTTGTTTGTTTGTTTGTTTGTTT